GGACTGGGGGCGCAGCGACCCCGGGGCCGCCCCCGCCGTCGGGCCAGCGCCGCTGCCCAGTCTCACCTCCGCAGTCCCGAGGGGCCCACCCGTTCTGTCCCTCGCACCGCTGCTCCTGGCGGCGCCCCGAGGCGAGACGGATCAATGCGTGCAATGAAGGAATGGCCGCTCAGGCTCCGGCCAGGGGAAGGCCCCCACGGGAGGCTCGCTTAGTAAGCCTTAGACCCCCAACAGCTCGGCGAGGTCAACTTTATCACACCCCCCCTTTACAGGGGAGAAGCCTCCCCACAAGTGCTCAGAGCACCCCCTCCTTTCCCGGCCTAGATCCCGGCCTAGACCCTGCGGTGCAGCCTGCAGCTCGGCGCCCAGACTCCCCCCACAGTGCTCCTGGGCTGGGAGCTCCAGTCCAGGGCCCTAGGGTCAGCCTGAGCCCCCTTTGGGCCCCCTCTAGTCTATTCCACCCCCAAACAGGCCAATGACAGCGCTTGTCCTTGCCCCATGGATGTTAGGCCTGGGCCTGGGCCCGGGTGTAGCAGCTTCCGTTTCATGGTGGTTTCTAGAGTTCCCACCACACGACATGTCACTATAGGTGCAGGACAGAGTAGGTGGGGGGAGGAGGGGCAGTGGCACCAGAGCCTGGGGGTGAAAATGGGGTCCAGGTCCCTTGGCCCGGGTTTGACTCCTGTCCATGCTGTGTGGCTACAGGCTAGCCACTTGCCCTCTCTGAGCCTCCGTGGTCACATCTGTAAGACAGAACAGCTGTGACCTCTCAAAGTGGTTGTGGGGACTCAGGATGTCATGCGAGTGTCTGGATGGAACAGCTGGGTATCCAATAAGCACTCAATAACCAGCCGTCTGGATTGCAGTCAGAGGTCTTCCTGTCCGTAAGCTGAGGTGGAAGTTCCCGTTCCTCCCTCAGGCCTCCAGGCCCCCGTGCCCAGGGTCACGGAACCTGGGGCTCTGCATCAGATCCCCCAGGAGCAGCGGGAGTCCAGCCGCCAGGGCAGGGCTGCCCTTCAGGCCGTCCTGCCCTCCAGGCCCCAGGGCCCTGGCCTCCAGGTGTTCTGGCGCCTGTCTGCTGTCCTCCGAGGGCAGCGCTGTGTCCAGGGCCGGCTCAGGAACACTCCGAGGCAGCGTCATCTTCTGGAGGGGCTCGGGTATGTCCAGGTCAGTCCCCTCACCTTTGTCCCATGACACGTTCACCACCAGGACCTCTTTCGGGGACTCTTCCTCCGGAAAGTCTGCCAGGCTGATCCACTGCCAGGCCTGGAAAAGGAGAACGGGGCCGAGGCCATGAGCAGGGCCCCAGTTCCCATCCACACAGGATGGGGTGGGCCAGGTCCTTGCTGGCTAAATTCTCTTAAGTCCTGAGACCAATTCGAGGATCAATTGGAAGGGTCCCCCATTTGTCTTTGGGAAATTGCCCCTCATCTTCTCATAGTTGATGTGAATGGGCAGGGCACTAGCCCCATCCCAGCTCTAGGATGGGAATGTGATCCTGGCCCCGCCAATCAGAGCACTCCAGCCCCCTGGTTCCAGGGACAGGCTTAGGGATGGGCATGTGACCCAAGCGGGGCCAATCAGTGATATCCTTGAGACTTTTGCTCCAGTTAATGGGGAAAATGGACACCCTGCTTCCACTGGGGGAAGGCTGAAACTGCCTGGAGAGAAGCCTGCAGGGAGGACAGCAGCACAGAGATGGATCCCTAGTCCCTGGATCCAGCCATGCGTGAAGCCCACCACCCCGGGATTTTTTTTTTTTTTTTAATCAGGTTCCCTTTTTGTTGAAGGCACTTTGAATTCTGTTTTCACTGCTAGGAAATGACCCATAGGAGTTCCTCTTGGGGCCTCTGCTTGCCCATCTGTAAAATAGGACAGGTGTATGGAGTCCCTGCCTCAGTGGGCTGGGGGAGAATAAAATGAGCTAATGCATGGCCATTACCCAGCAAAGCCCTGGCCCAGAGTATGGACCCAATAAACAGAACCTGGAATTAGAAAAGGAGCCCTTACCTGCTTCCCCTGGCTGCCAGGGAACTCAACAGCAGTGCTGGCACCAGGTGTGGGCAGGGGTGGGCACAGGTGCCGTACGGCCCTGGGGAAGAGGGAGGCTGGTCAGAGGGGCAGTGCTTCTGTGTGTTCTTACTTTTCAATTGTTCTGACTTATATTTTCATCTCTATTAGGTTATAAAGGGAGCGAGGATACAAATTGGGGGAAGGGGGTGCAGAAATTTGACAGACCCGAGTTCAACTGCCAGCTCTGCCCCACCGCTGGATGCCCTGAGCCTGACCACCTGGGCACAGTTTTACCGTCTGTGAAGTGGGCATGAACATCTAATTGGCGTGAGCGGTTACTGCGATCGGTATCATGGGTCCCGTTGGTGAGCGGTGGGAGTTACCTGTTCAGGCCGAGGTACCCCAGGACACCCAGGAGGAGGATGCTCACGAAGCTCCCCAGAGACGCCAGGAGGACAGACAGATCAGCCAGCTCAGAAACCTGCACTTCTGTGGGGGAGAGAAGCTTGGGTTGGGGGAGGGGCACCTGCCTCTCGCTGGAGGGGGAGCTGGGGGCCAGGCCCTCCGTCAGCTCGCTGCTGACCCTGGGCCCCTCTGTGTCTCCATTTCCTCGTCTGTGAAGTGGGAGACCAGGGACCCCCCTGCCCAGTGGCTGTGGGACAAAGGCCTGGCACCAGGAGTGCTCGAGACACTGCAGCTCAGGCACCTGCGTGTTGGCCCTGGGCTTGTTCCTCTCCCACCCCGGCCAGGGCTGACCCATTAGTTCTCTTGGGATCAGACTTCACTGCAAGGACGACAGGCAGGGACGTTGACAGGGACAAGGGTCAGTTGGTCTTCAAATCTCTCACAGCTACACATCTCAAGACAACAGGGCCCGCATCCTCACCTTTGTGATGGGAGACACATTCGTTCATTCATTCACTCAAACAGCCCTCCTGCTCCTTCCCCCTCTGCAGGAGGGGGGCTGGGGGAGGCAGAGCGGGACAGACATCCCCACCCACTCCCAAGGCGTCAGGCTTGGGAGGCGAGTCAGTCAAAACTGGGGTGAGGGGTAGTGCCCAGAGGAAAGCACACAAGGCTTCCTGGAGGAGGAGGCTTCTGAGCCGAGTTTTGAAGGATGAATAGGAGTTTGACAAAGGGGAGAAGAAACAGTACAGGCACGGGGCCTGCATGGGCAAGGCCTCGGGAGTGTGAGAGAAGGTTCATGAAGGAAAGCTGCAGGAGACGAGGCTGGTGAAGGAGGTGGGAGCAGGTCGGGCTAGGACTTTCTCAATGGCTATGATGGGGAGCCACGAAGGAAGGAACAAGGGCAGGACGGGGCTGCTCGCAGATGCGCGTGGATGGGGCGGTGCATGCTGGGTAACTACCTTCCGCCCCACTCACCCATGCTGAAGTGCTGGGGTGCGCTCCAGGCCCCGCGCAGCGTCCCGGTGTCCGCCCGCACCTGCACGGTGTAGGCTGCACCAGCTCGCAGGCCGCCGACGGTGGCCTGGGTCTCCGTGGGCTTCACGGGCAGCTCTGCGGAGGGAGGCAGCGTGGGTCCCGGGACCCTCTTATTCCCCGCAGGCCGCGCTGGCCGCCCGGGGGTGGGGCGGAGCTCGGACATTTTGCTGAAGGCTCTTCCCTCAATGCAGCAGCTCTCCTCCGGCTTATTTGGGGGAATATTCTTCATCACCACATTCAGTGAATGCTGCTCGTTTTCTCAGTTCTGACCCCTCCTCCTCCCGTCCAGCCACTTCTGCCTTCTCTTCTCTGTGCTCACTCCAGGCGCCAGGCTCAGTGCCACCGCAGGGCCTTTGCACCACTGGTCCTCCCCCCCCACCCCCGCCTGGTTCACCCCTTCCTCAGATACCCGCAGGGTTTCCTCCCTTGCCTCCTCCCGTCTTCAGGGTTCAAGTCAGTGTGAACTGTGTCTGTGTTGCTCCCCGGGATCCTCAGCACACAGGAAGACCTCAGTGAGTGTGTGTGGAACTGGGTAACTTTAACAATAAAGCCCTCCATAAAAATCCTCTCAGATAAGAATACAGTTGTTGGCTGTCATCAAAAGGAAAAAATTCCTAGAACCCTAAACCCATACTCTTCGTCTCTATTCAAGAGGAATATTCCTTGAAAGAAATTTGGGGGAAACTGGTAAATTTGGCTGAATGGTCATTTGGTGCTTTACTCTTCAGCAATTTCACTTTTGGCAAATTGGTTTTTAGCAAATGGGCTGCTTGCAGCTCTGCCTCTGCGGACGAGGCAGCGACCCCGCTGGGCATCCACGCAGGCTCGTGCGGGCGCCGGGGTCTCCCCGCCTGGCTGGCGGCGGCAAGGCCGCTGACCGCAGCAGTGAAGCCCGGGTGTGGAATGGCAGCGGGCTCCAGCCCGGGCGAGACCCACCCAGTCCATTCTCGCCTCTTCCTCCAGGGGGCAGAAGGGGGCACAGTCTGAGCTCAGACCCAGGCTCGCCCAACCTTTGGGCAAGCGACTCTCTCTCCAGGCCTCAGTTTCCCCATCTTGGAATGGAGACCTAGTCCCCACTCCACGGGGGTCTAGTTGTTGGTTCGCCTGAGGGGCTGCCATCCATGCGCCCGGCACATCGGGAGCCCGGGCCGATGCCCACCAGGCCCTCGTTGGGAGTCTGGAAGGGACAGTCAAGACCCTTGAGTCCAACTCTCTTGTCTTATGGGTGGGAAACCCCAGGCCCCGAGAGGGGCAGCATGGCGGCCCGCAGGCCGGGAGCCCTCCCTCCCCAGGGGCCCGCGCGCGCCCCACCTACCGGAGAGCCGGGTGCCGTCCTCGCCGCGGCAGCGCACAACGTACTCCTTCAGGACGCCCGGGCAGCTGCTCAGCAGCGACGGCGTCCAGGCCACAGCCACCGAGTCCCGGCTGAGCTGCTTCACCGACACGTGCTGCGGGCTCCCGGCGCCCGAGGCTGCAACCACAGCGCGGCCTCGGTCACTTCCTGCTCGCCCAGCCCGCGCTGCCCGGGGCCCAGGGAGCTCGGCCGCTCCGCTCCGGCGCCCTCACTGCCCCTCTCGGAGCCTCAGTCTCTCATCTATAAAGTGGGGCAGTGCCGCCCGCGGCGTCTCAGGAGCCCGCTGAGCTCACGTGCGCATGTCCACTCTCTGACCAGGGCCTGATGCACAGTGGGTGCCTCTAAATGCTCTTTCCCTCCTCCTGACCCCCAAGGCAACTGCCCAGTCCTCTGGGGAGACCACCCTGCGGGTGTGGGCCGCTCACCATTGCCCCCAAAGTGGTAGGTGGACAAGACCGTGGACCACGAGGTGGGCTTCTCCGGGCGCACAGAGGCAAAGATGGTGATGCGGTAACACACCTTCTGCCCCATCGCCCCAGATGCTCGGCTCCAGCTGTGGGTTGCTGGAAGGATTATCAAGGTAATAAATTGACTGTGTTCCCACCTTTGCACTGGCTGTGCCATCTGCCAGGAACTCTTAGAGCACTCCTACTCATGCTTCAAAGCCCTTGCACCCATGTCCCCTCCTCCAGGATCCCTTCCCTATGCCTCCCTCCAACCCGTCCCCATCCCCTCCAGCCCAGCCCGCACTCCATGGGGCCAGGGACGTCTGTATCCAGTTCTGTCTTCCTGGGCTGGGAGCTCCTCGAGGGCCAAGATGACGTGAGGCTTACTGGGGCCCCAGCGGGGCTCAGCGTAGGGACTGGGGGAGTGCGAGGCTCCCTGGGCCATATGCCCCCCTTCCCTCCAGAGGCCTCATTAATTTGCCACCAGCATCTTCTAGCTGCCACCTTCTCGGGTGTGGGAGAGTGTTTAACACACACCCTGGAACGTGAGACTCATTACCTGCCGGGGCGCAACCTGCCCAGGGCTGAGCCCTGATGCCCCAGGATCCTGGCAGGAGGCTCTAGGCCCGTGTGGGTGGGAGGGCCCGAGTCTTGGCCTGTCTCCACTTCTGTGTGACCTCGAACAAGTGGCAAGCCCTCTCTGGGCCTCAGATACCCCAGGTGTGTGGTCCCTGCAGGTCTAAACCGACCAGGAGCTCTAACGGACGACAAAAAGGCAGAGGCGGGGCAAGCGACATGACAGTACCCATGCCAGCAGGGTCCCGGTCCTGGGGTCCAGTCAGGGTGCAGGTGGCGAGGCTCCTGTCCTGGCCCTGGGGCTGCCACTCGATGCAGTAGGTCGTGCCCTGGGCCCGCGCTGGCCAGTGCATGGTGGTCCCATTGGCTCCGGCGCTGATGCTCAGGGCCCCTGGTTCTGGGAGGAGACGGAGAGGCGCGTGAGGCCCCTGTCCTGCCCTCCCGCCAGGCTCTAACCGCACGTGGCGGGACTGTCAGCGTCTGGCCCTGTCTCCTGACATGTTGGGGGGCTGCCGGGTTGGGGGCCACCGCAGAGGGGACAGCAGAGGCTGTAGGAATGAGCTGAGTCCTCCTCAGCCTGGCTGCAGGTTCCCTGCCAGGACACCCACCATCAATGCTCCTCGCACAGCCACTACTGCTCCCGCCAGCCTGGTGGGCGGCTCCTGCTCCAGGAGGTACCCCCCCTCCCCACCCAGCAGCGGGTGCAGGCGGCCCCGGCCTGACCAGAGCTCAGAGACCTCAAGACACACCCACTCAGCCCCCTGGGCTCCTCTCGCCCACTCCCTACAGCGAGGGCGCCTGCAATAACCTCAGAGGGGTGGGTACTGCTTCCAGTTCTGGGGACAACCACTACCATTTATTGAGCACCGACTGTATGCGCCAGGCCAGTGCCAAGTGCTTGGCAGGCGCCACTTTGCTATGATCACCCCAATGATACAGAAACTGAGGCTGAGAGAGGGAGCGTCACTGCCCCAAGGTCACACAGCGAGGCCATGGCCCAGACCAGACCAGGGGCTGGCAGACTCGCTGCTCTGCCACCCTGGCAAGTGGCTTCACCTGTCTGAGCCTTGCTTGTCTCATCTCTGAAATGGGCATCATCGTAGCAGCCCTGCCCTCACAAGGATGCTGGGTGCTCAGCAGGGCTGGGACTAGGGTGAGGCGAGTGAGGCCCTCGTTAGGCATGAAGTTTAAGGAGGCTCCAAAGAACTCGGTCATCAAGATAAACACTGTTTCAAGGAAATATTTTAAAAAAATCAAAATGAATGCAAAAATACATGATGAGCACTATGTACAATCACCAAAAGGCGGAAACAGCCCAAGTGTCCGTCAACGGATAAAGAGATAAACACAATGTGGTCCCTCCACACAGTGGACTATTACTCAGTCACAGCAAGGACTGAAGCCCTGACACGCTACAACACGGATGGACCTCGGAGACCTCACGCTGAGAGAGAGAAGCCAGACACAGGACAAATAGTGTGTGAGTCCATGTATATGAAACGTCCAGAACAGGCAAATCCACAGAGACAGAAAGTGGATTAGTGGTTGTTGAGTGCTGGGGGAGTGGGGATGGGGAATGACTGCTCACGGAGAGGCGGTCTCCTTTTGGGGTGATGGAATGTTCTGGAACTAGACAGAGGTGATGGTTGCACAACATTGTGAATGCACTAAATGCCTTTGAATTGTACATTTTAAAATGGTTAATTTTACTATGTGAATTTCACTTCAATAAAATATATACATACGTATATATACATACATATATACATAAATATAAATCTTGATTTTTCCATTATATATAAAAAATGTATATATTTAATATATGAATATGTATATATAATGAACAAAATATCAAGGTTTGATGAGACTGACGCGCTGCCTACTGCGCTAAGAAGGCACTTCAAGGTTTTAAATGAAGACAGGATCAATCCTCTACTTGCAGGACACTACCTCGCTCGCCACACCCTGATCCCGGCCCTGGTCCCAATAAAACTTTATTTACAAAAACAGGCGCTTCTGGGCTGCAGTTTGCCGGTTAGAATTTGTTACAAGGTGGCATTATAACGTTTGCGTCTCGGTCACCGCTCGGCCACACCCCTAACCTAGACGCGCCCTCGCTGCGGGTCCGGCTGCGGCCGGGGGAGGGGGGGACGCGCAGGCACCTGTGCGGGCGTCGGCGGGGATGTGCCACGTCTGGTTGGGGCCGGGGCCGAAGCGGTTCCGGGAGACGACAGCCAGGTCGTAGGCGGCGCCCGAGAGCACGAGGGTGTCGCGCAGGCGGAGGGTCCTCGCGGCCTCGGCCTTGCAGGGGCAGGACAGCATGCGCAGGCGCACGCGGTAGCTCACGTCCGCGCCGGCGCCCGGCCGGCCGCAGCCCTCCGGGAGCGCGAGCGGGGGCGGCTGCGGGAGCGAGGGGCGGCGCGTGGGGACCTGAGCGCGCCCGCGAGCACGCGCCGCCGCCCCGCCCGCCGGAAGTAGACGGCGACCATAGACCTCAGGCCGGCGAGGCTGCTGGGAAGCCAGCGTGCACAGCCAGGGCACCTTGGTGTGAAGAAGGAAGCGTTTGGCAAAACCCAGTGAGAGCCAGGGGAAAAAGGGTTTCATCTTCGCACCCAGTCACTCGAAGCCTGGAAACTTTTCCTAAGAAAAGGAATTCAGGGCCGGCCCCGTGGCTTAGCGGTTGGGTGCGCGCTCCGCTACTGGCGGCCCTGGTTCGGATCCCGGGGGCGCCCCGACGCACCGCTTCTCCGGCCATGCTGAGCCCGCGTCCCACATACAGCAACTAGAAGGATGTGCAACTATGACATACAACTATCTACTGGGGCTTTGGGGGAAAAAACGGAGGAGGATTGGCAATAGATGTTAGCTCAGAGCCGGTCTTCCTCAGCCAAAAGAGGAGGATTAGCACGGATGTTAGCTCAGGGCTGATCTTCCTCACAAAAAAAAAAAGAAAAAAAGAAAAGGAATTCAAACGAGAGGAAGGCCAGGAAGCGGAGGAGTGTCCCTGGAGCCTGCTGTGCCAGCCCACTGGGGTCCTGGCTGAGCCAAGGACGGTGAAGCCAGTGGGGGAAATATGTGGTGGTTTTGCCCCTGACTCAGGCAAGAGGCTTTTCCCACTGTGCCTCAGTGTCCTTCTCTGTAAAATGGGGGTTAGACAGCACTGAATTGGTTGTTTGGGGACTTCAAAGAAATCATCTCCCATCTAGACCAACACTGTTGCCTCCTTCCTGGCCTCCCAGCTTCCACCTGATCTCCCCACCATCTGTTCCCCGAAAGCGGCCAGAGGGAGCCTATGAACGCCTGAGTCCAACCATATCCCTCCTCTGCTCACACACCCTCCATGGCTCCCCATTACCTTCAGAGTTACACACACAGTCCGCCCAGTCCTTACCACCTCCACATCTCATCTCCCTCAGTTTCCCATTTGCACATCCCCCCTCCAGCCTCTTGTCTCCTTCTGCCTGTACTCAGGCCACCCCACAGCCCTGTGACACCCCATTACCTGCCCCTCCAGGGTCACCTGCCTCCTCCCATCACGGCCAAGCCTCTTCACCGAGAACCTCACCTCAGGCTGGGGAGTGGTTTCTGCAATGAGACATCAAGACAGTGACGCTGGGGGTGGTGCCCGGCCTCACAAACTCCTGCAGTGCCGGACGGGGACCTGGCTGGGCCCTTCCCTTCTCTCCCAGGAGACACAGCATTACCCTGGGTTGTTACATAGTTTTCAAAATCTGAAAACTTGGAGATCCTCTCCTCAATGATGTGAATATACTTGATGCTATTGACCTGGACACTTAAAAATGGTTAAAATGGTACATATTATGTTGTGTGTTTTTTTGCCACAATTAAAAAAAAATCTAAAAACATCTCTTGGAGTTGTTTCCCGGCAAATATGCACTTGGGAAGGGAGCCAGTCGCCTGTCCCTCCCTCCCTTCCTGCAGGGCCACGTCTGCACTCTGGAGCTGCCCAGGCTCCAGCCCCTGGGTCATTTGGGAAATACGTCTGCATGACACGGCCACTTCCACCTGTCGACACCTGGTGCAGCTCTAAGAGAACAAAGCCAACCACGAAAGCTGGAAGGAGACAGAGAGACTGAGACATGTTTTCTCTTTAGATTACGGATTGGCCACATTTTACAAACTGAAACTCACGCACTGCCCTGCCACCTTTCACTAATTTTCCCTAATGTCTTCCATTGCCTTATTTCTAACACTCGCCACCTGATTTCTATACCCACTGCCATATTGCTAATGCTGGCCCCTGTTTCTGTGGCTCCAGTTGCTCTCACCAGGGGGAACACACACAGGGCTGCTCCAGCTGCTCCAGGGACTTCCCGGGGCCTCTGGCCCGAGGCGCCGCCGCCGAAGCTGGAACTCCTGGGCTGCATCTTTCTCCAGGGGGCAGAGGCACGATTCTGGGGAGAAACAGGTCAAACATGAGGCTGAGGGGCTGTCCCACACCCGGGGGTGCCCAGGGCTTGGCACTGGTCACTTAGCCACTATGTACTTATTGAGTGCCAACTGTATACATGCATTTATTGAGTGCTAGCTGTGTACGTGCACTTATTGAGAGCCAACTGTGTGCTGGGCCCTGGGGACACAGCAGGAACAGGCCAGGCCTTGTCCTCTTGGGGCCCTGAGGATCACCCACTTCTTCACCTGTCAAGGGTTCAAGTCCCAGCAAGGCCACCTCTTGGGATGTGACCTTGGCCAACGGCTTCTCACCCCCAAGCCTTTGTTTCCTCACCTGTGAAATGGGCATAATCCAATACCGAACTACAGGGCGGAGCCACAAACATACAAAGAATTTAGTACTGGGCCTGGCACACAGTAGGTGCTCAATTAATGCTAACTTGCTGCAGCTGTTGTTACTATTCTTATTCTCACCGAAGCCAGCATCATCCTGAAGTCCGCAGTCGCCCTAGGATGAGACCATATTTATATATTGTTTACATTTTGGTGTTGAAAAATCTTAGCTCTTTTGAAATTTTAAATAATGATTCTACCAAATGCAATGTGGGACCTCAGATGAGATCCAGGAACAGAAAGAGGACATTCTTGAAAAACTGGTGGCAGCCACATAACCTCTGGGGTTCAGTTCATAGCAGTGTCCCCACGTTCACCTCAGCCGTGACAATCGCACGGGGGCTGGTAAGGCGTGAACAGGAGGGAAGCTTCTACGGGAGTTCTCTGTACCTCTTTGTAACTTTCCTGAAAATCTAAGATTATTCCAAAATTAAATGCTTATTTAAAAATTATTTTTGGAAGCAAAATTATTATTTTATAATTTCCTAAAAAATTATTTTAGGGGGCAAAACCTGTCTGTTGTGTTCAGGTCAAGAGATCCGGGACCCAGCCTGCCCCAGGCTCCCGGGCGACCCTGAGAGGTCCTCCGACACCCCAAGCCTCAGTTTCCTCATCTGAGAAGGGGGCTGAGAGGGTCTGCTGCAGAGGGTGCTTCGGGGGCTGGAATAAAACGTAGATGCCCTTTCCGTCACAGGCCCCAGGCACCTGCCTCTTACTCATCTGCACCCGTTCACCTGATGGGGAAACCGGCTCAGGGAGGGCACGCTTGCAGGGAAGATGGGGCAGCTCCCTGCCCTCCCCAGTCTGGGGAGGAGGAGACTAGCCACAATTCAGAGGCTGGGGGCCTCCGGCTCCCTCGGACGGGGGCTTCCTGAGGACTAGGTCGGGCTGAGGTTTCTTGCAGGCCCCGGATTGCCCTGCCTGCGGGAACAGTAGGGGGACAGAGAGAGCTGAAGAATGAATGAAGGTCCAAAGAAGACACACAGATGGCCAGCAGGTCATGAAAAGGTGCACAGCATCCCTCCTCATCAGGGGAATGCAACTCACAACCACGATGAGGCACCACCTCACACCTGTCGGGGTGGCTGTCATCAAAAAGACAAGAGAGAACAGGTGTTGGCGAGGACGTGGAGAAGAGGGACACGTGTGCACTGTTGGCGGGAATGGAAATTGGTGCAGCCCTATGGAGAGCAGTATGGAGGTTCCTCAAAAAATTAAAAATAGAACACCCATATGATCCAGCAATTCTACTTCTGGGTATTTATCTGAAGGAAATGAAAACACTAACTCCAAAAGACATCTGCAGCCCATGTTCACTGCAGCATTAGTCACAATACCCAAGACGCAGACACAGCCTCTGTCCACTGACATAAGTACGGGGAAAGAAATGTGAGAGAGAGATACAATGCGACATTCTTTGGCTATTAAAAAGAGGGGGATCTTGCCATCTGCAGCACCATGGATGGACCTGGAGGGCTGTGTGAAATAAGCCAGACAGAGAGATATACTGGATGATCTCACTTTTAGGTGGAATCTCAAAAACAAAACAAAATTGAACTCGTAGATACAGAGAATAGACTGTTGGTCGCCAGAGGCGGAGGGTGGGGGTGGGGGATCGGTGAAGGGGGTCAAAAGGTACAAACTTCCACTTATAAATAAGTCGTGGGAATGTGAGGTACAGCACGGTGACTACGGTTAATAACACTGTAGTGCATATTTGACAGTTGCTGAGAGAGTAGACCTTAAAAGTTCCCATCACAAGAAAAAAAAATCTGTAACTGTGTGGTGGCAGATGTTAACTAGACTTACTGTGGTGCGCATGTCACAATATGCACAAATATCACATCCCTATGTTGTCCACTTGAAACTAACATAATGTTATATGTCAGTTATACCTCAACAAACAGAAGGAAGGGCTGCAGGAAGAAAGGAAGGAGCGGGGGGAAGGACAGCGTCCTGGAAGAGGTGGCCCTTGAGCTGGACCCTGAAGGTGAGCCAGACTGGCATGTGCCCAGAGGGAGAGGGGGGCGCGCAGGTGGTGGTCACTGCGTGTGCAAAGGCAGGGAGGCTGGAAATCCAGGGCATGGCAGAGGAGGGCGGCCGTTCAGGAGGGGCAGAGGCATCACGAGGCAGGTAATGGGGTCTGGGGCCAGCTGAGGATGAGGCTGCCCTCCCGAGGGTAATGGGGAGCCGTGGTGGGCATGTGGGCCAGCGCGGTCACGTGGTCAGATCTGAGTGTCGGAGACCCCAAAGGTTGCACATGGGCGAGAGTGGAGGCCGGGTGGGGGTGGCAGATGCAGAGATGGGGAGGGGGCGCTGGGTGTGCAGACGCCCAGGGAGAGGCCTGTGCGCCCCTGGCCGGGTGCGGACTCACCAGCTTCCACGAGCTGCCAGGCGCCCGCCGCCGGAACTGCACCTGGGCCCCCTCCTGGCGGGCTGGGGTCTCCCACTCCATGCGCAGCCAGCCGGCTGCCCCAGACACCCTGATGTCTCCTGGCGGAGGGTCGTATTTAACTGGAAGCAGAGGTGGGGTTGGAGAGGGAAGCTGGCATGTGTATGAATTGTTAGTCCCGAAAATTCCAGAAAATCCACCCCGCCCCTGCCCAGCCCAGGGTAACCAACTGAGTACCCCAAATGTGAATCAGGGACACCCTTGCAGGTCCCATTTAAGCCCGGGATTCTATGGGTCAAAGAGTCAACATTTATACACAGGATCCTCTTAGCGAAGATATCTTTAAAATATTAATACCCACTGCTGGCGAGGTCGGGGTGAGACAGGCACTTTTGACAATTGCTGACGAGAGGGTAATTAATTGATTCTATTTTTCTGGAGGACTTTTAGGAAAATCTCACTAATTTTTCGACCCACTTCAAGGAGCCTGACCCAAGAAGAGACAGCTCTCTCTCTCTGCATCTTGGGCATTTCACGCCGCAGAGGGAAGGGAGGTTCTACCTCAGGGCCTTTGCGCTTGCTGTGCTCTCTGCCCGGGACACCGTCCCACCTTTCTCCCTGCTGGATCCTTCTCATCCTTCAGGGCTCGTGTTGAGCTGGGGGCCACCTTGGCCCCCCGCAGGATCTCACTCTGTGTAACCATCGCACCCCATCCATCACCCCACTGAGTCTGGGCTCCGTGCAGGCAGGGACAGGGCATGTGTCAGGCTGAGGTGAGTGAGGCAAGGCTATACAAATCCAGGGTGGGATCTTGTCTGTCTTTAAAATGTTGATCTTTTGTTCATCATGGAGTATTCTTTGCATTAATTTTGATTTTTCAAAATATTCCATTACAGTATTGTTTATATTGACTCCTGAGTTTCTAGCAGCCCCTTAAAATTTTATGCTCAAGTGAGTGCCTCGCTCACCTCACCCTAGTCCCAGCCCTGGGCTGCAACCTCCATTGGCCTCGCCACGTCCCCTGTGACTCAACATGGCACACAGTAGCCGCTCAACAACCATATGCTAGATGAATGTTTCGAGTCATGAAAAAATATATTAAAGACCCAACAGGATCCCTGCAGCATTATGGCCTCGGGAGAAACCAGAAGCAACCTATGTGTCCAGCAGTTGGGGATTTGTAAGGGGATCCTGAAAGACTGCCAAGTCACACAACAGTGTTTGGTGTGAAAACGGCTGGCATTACCAAGCCCCTTGCCAGGGCCCAGACTCCCCCCAGGTCTAGGCTTGAGGACCAGAGGCCTCTTGGGTGAGGAAGGGACAGCAGGGAGGAGGAGGAGGGCAGGGTGCTGACCTGAACTGTAAAGCTTCAGGGTAACCTCAGGCGACTTCTCCGTCCGGTTCGCGACCCGGGATTCCACCCAGAGTGTGACAGCGTAGAGCACAGATATGCCATCCTGCTCGGAGAACTGCAGCTTGGTGGCTGAGCCAGTGGCGAAGTAGCAGCAGCGCCCGGGCCTGAGGCTGCAGGCAGGATGGTGTTGGTGCTGAGTCTAGGGTCCCAGTGGACCCCAGAGTGTCTCAGTGGCCACAGCCGACAACACACATCACATCTCAGCATTCTTTTCTGCCCCTTTTATTCCCCCTCCCCAGCCTGGGAGTTCCTTGGGGATCAGCCTGGGACTGTGGGGTTTGGAGGAGCCCAGAATCTCCCAATATGGGGTGCCACAGAGGGAAGGAAGAAATGAATGGCTGGATGAACGGATGCACAGATGGATGAGTGATTGAGAGGGGGAGGGTGGAGGGAGGACTAGAGGGACCCTAATCGCTGCCTAATCTGGATGCCCACCCACACTGCCCTCTCCAACACAGAGCCCCAACCCTCCCTTCCCACACGAGAAACTGAGGCCCAGGAAGGAGCAAGGACGCTGCCAAGGTCCCACATCTGAGCACAGGCACAGGGTCAGGAGCAGGGTGACAAGGCGGCTGCGGGCCTGGGCCTGGGGTGGGGTCCTCACCAGCACCTCAGGAAGTGGCTGACCCCGGCCGCGGGGCCCTCATACTGCCAGGAGCATTCGTAACCGGCACTGGATATCCGGTAGCAGTTCAGGGCTCTGGGGCCCGAAGCCGAGCCTGGAGGAGATCCCAGAGGTTTGAGAACAGACCAGTGTGTGGGAGTCTCCATGCTGAAACCCCCGCCCAGGATGAATCTTTGTGCCACCTATGTAATCCGGTGTCACCTCAGCCTAAATCTGCCGTGGCTCCCAGGCCCCTACTGTGCCCTCCCCACCCGTCTCCTGCCATCTCCCCTGCTCGCCCTGCTCCCGCCACACCAGCCTCCTCACCAGTCCTCAAACCTGGCTCACTCCAACCTCAGGACCTTTGCACGTGCTGTGCCCTCCGCCTGGAATGCACTTCCCCCAGATCTTGACATCCCAGTTTCTCCTTCAGCGTGACCTCCTCTACCACCAGCCAACCTGAAGCAGCCCCTCTGTCTCTGGCCCCCGCCCTGCTCTGGTTCCTCACAGTCACCATAGGCGGTATATGCACTTGTTTTCTCTTGTCTACCTGTTGGTCTACGCTGTGACCCCAGGAGGACAGCTGGGCTCACAGCTGACTCCTTCATGCCCAGAACTGCCTGCATATAGTAGGTGCTCAGCAATTACTTATCGAGCAGAGGAGTAGATGAGGCACCTGCTCAGGGCAGACCCTCAGTGGGGTGCACGACAGCATAAATGTTCTGGCAACACTTGCCTCGGGAGAGCTTCAGAATCTTTAACAGCTGCTTAGCCCTCATGCTGACCAATCTGAGCAGCCGTGGACACCAGCCCTGCGACCCCGCTAGGGAGGAGACAGGCACAGAGAGGTGGGGACTGCTCCAGGCCACCCCGGCTCGGTGAGGACAGGCTGCTCAGGCCACCAGGCTGTCGGGTCGGGTCAGGGCTCTCAAGACCCCAGGTGGGGCTGAGGCTTTGTCTGGGCAGGAGGGAACTGAGGGAGGGGCTGCTAGGGATGAGCAGTCAGAGCCCAACACAACCCCCCCCCCACCATGAGGAACGCCCCAGACCTGAGTCTGCATCCGGATACGGCGGGTCCTGGAAACAGCACCCACTGCTACTGCAGGCTCCAGCTGCAAAGACAACAAGGAGAGAGTGACATTCTGGGCCCTCCCTGCGTGGGGGAGAGACTCGGCCCGGGGGCTGGCCAAGTGACCACCCACCTGCCCACCCACTTTCTCATCTATCCATCCACCCATCCACCCATCCACTCACCCACCCATCCAACCATCCATCCACCCATTCATCCATCCATCCATCCACCCACCCACCTGCCTACCACCTCTCCATCCATCATCCGTCTAACTATCCATCCAACTATCCACTCATCTACCTACCCACCCACCATTCATTCACTACCCATCATTCCATCCATCCATCCATCCATCTATCACCCATCCACCCACCTACCATCCCATCCATTCATCCACCCTTATCTACCTCTCAGGCTACTCCTCCAAAGCAATCCGGGGTCCCCTGCCCCCTCTGTCACTGGTCTCCAGCCCTGCCTGATCCAGTGAAGCCTTACAGTGTGGCCAGCCTGTTCTGAGCCCTCTTCCTGCATTCAGGGCATCGAGCTACCTGAAGAGTCAGCACCCTGCTCATCCCCAGTTTACAGAGAGGGAAACTGAAGCACAGAGAGACAAAGAAGCTGCCTGAGGTCACACAGCAGCAACAGCAAACCTGAGATTAGAGTCAAACCCAGCCATCCCAGGGGGCTGAGCCCCTTCCCATCTGATTCCACAGATGGAGAGAGAGCATATAGATATATATTATATATACTATATACATAATATACTGTTTTATATATATATCGATTATATATATACTTGCTCTTTATCCCTTCCTTAGCTATTTCTCATTGAACTCTGGGAGCTGGGAAGGAGTCAAAGATCCAGCGCATTCCACAGAAGACAAATCAAGACCGGAGAGGAGATGCCCAAGTCTGACCCCAGAAGCCTTCATCAGAGATCTTCCATTTGACAGAGGGAAAGACTGAGGCACAGAGATGCAGACCCAGCGCCGGGACGGGGGTCCACGGCCCTCCACACACACATCCCCAGCAAGAAGAGCCGAGCACTAGGGTGGGGGACTCACCGCCCTGCCCGGGGAGCAGAAGGAGGAGGAGGGGGACCAGCCTGGCCACTGGCCGGCCCATTGGGTCCACTCGAGGGCCGGCGGCCACGGATGAGCTTCTGCGCCGCCACTGAGGCCCCAGCCGCCCTGTCCTCACCCCGGAACACGTTAAAGCTGAGCAAGAAAGAAGACTAAAAAGATCAAAAAAAGAAAAAAGTTAGGTGTCATGGCCCCTCCCAGCCCAAGTCAAAGTGAAAGAGAAACCCAGGAAGTCAGCTCAGTGGTGGCCTCATCCTGGCCGCAAACTCACCCACGGGGCAAGTCGGACCTGGGCCCCAGGTCTGGAGGTCTGCTCTGCTGGCCTCAGACCCCAGCTGGCCACCGGGTGCCAGCCCCATGGGTGGCCTGTGGCTCTGTGCCCTGGGCCGGACCTCGGCCCCGTCTGGCCGACTTCTGAGCCTCAGGAGCTGAGTGGTCGCCCGTGACCTTGGACGGCTGTGTTCTCTCTCCCGACACGTCGTTCTGCGGCGCTCTTGTACGCTGGGCCCTCAAAGTGCCTGCCTCCCCGGTTCCCACACTCCAGCCTCAGGACACCCTGGGTCTCGGCTCATGAAGTCTCCTCACCTCCTGTGGACTCAGCCGAGTCTCCTCCCTGTGTCTGCTTCGCGGCCCCGGGGACTCTCATTTCTGACCCTGTCTCCCCGCCGTCAACAAAGGCCCCAGGTGTCCATGGAGGGGAGCTGACTCACACTACAAAGTGGACGCACCTCAAAACCTCACGCTGAGCGAGAGAAGCCAGACACAGGAGCCCACGTGTTGTGTGAATCAATGTATGTGAAATGGCCACAAGAGGCAAATCCACGGAGACGGAAAGGAGATTAGTGGTCCCCAGGGGCTGAGGGAGGGGGGTGAGGAGTGACCACTCATGGGGACAGGGTCTCCTTTTGGGGTGATGGGAATGTTCTGGAACTATTTAGAGGTGGTGGTTGCACAACATTATGAATGTGCTAGATGCCACTGAATTGTACATTAAAATGGTTGATTTTATGTTATGTGATGTTTACCTAAAAAAAATGTTCACGGAGCCCAGGGGAACTGAGGAGCAGGATGAAGGTCAGGGGAGAGCATCTGGGTAAACTGAGGCCCAGGGGCGCAGGGAGGAGGCCCCTCCTCCGAGGACCCTGGTTCCGAGGGGCAGCTGGCTGGTCAGTGTCAGGCGCACAGCAGGCCATGAGGTCAGAGCCACGGGAACAAAGAGGCAGTGTCCCAGGCCTGGCACAGTGGAGACAGGGTCCCCGTGACCCCACACAGAGCAGCCTTCACCGGCGCCAAGGCCCAGGCCAGGGGGTGGAGTGAGTTTCGGGACTGATGGGTGAGGCCTGGGGGAGGGGCAGAGACAGAGATTGAGTGAAACATAAAGAAGGACGGAAGAGCTAGTTGGGCAAACTCATGGCCCCACTCCACAATCTTGAGACCCCCTACCCCAGGAGACACCATCATGTGCCCCATTTCACAGACGGAGAAACTGAGCCCAGAGGCGCCCAGACCACTCAAGGCCCCGGCTGAAGGCGAAGAAGTAGATTCAAACCCTGAGACAGAGCCCCCAGCAGGGCTGAGCTCTGCACTCTGAGGAGTGGGGCCCGTGCCCCAGGGCTGCCTCCAACCTCCAATCCCCACCAAGGTTGGCCCTCCCGGCCTCGGCTACCCCATCCGCAAAATGGGCTGTGGCGAGGATAAAGGAGGGCTCCTAGGATTAGCTCTTGTTTCTGGGACCCCCAGTGGCTTCTGCTCTTGTCACACCTCTTTCCCATCCCGCCAGCACCAGAGCAGCCGCTGGAGAAACATCGAGGGAGGGAGGGAGGTGAGGTGACACAGATGCCCCCAGCACCTCAGGGTCGGGGCTGGGTGTAGGGAGGGGCAGATGCAGGGGCTGTTCTGAGGGGGAGCAGGGGGCTGGCCAGAGAAGGGGGCTCTCTAGCCGGGTTTATAGATTTCAAGGGTGTTCCTGGCAGAGGGCACGGTGGAGGCAAAAGTTCGCCGGACACGCTTTAGGGACACCGAGAGAAGCGCGGCGAGTCTGGGGCTCCGTGGGAGAGAGGACCGTGCTGAGGCAGCCGGGGCCTCGAGTGCTGGGCTGTAGGGGCAGCCAGGGTGGTGGTAGGAGCAGGACCCCAGCCACACGCGAGGTGGCGTTGCTACCCTTATTGAGGTCACGGTCTAAGGCTCACACCAAGGTTCACCACAGCCCACCTTCCCCGTGCTGAGTCCTCGAACACCCACCTTTCTTGGCCTGCCTGCTGCCTACTCCACGAAGCCCTAGGGGCCCTTATTGGCCCCTCCCAGCTGCCCCAGAAGCACAGCTGGGAGATGCCCCCGGGGCTGCCCCAGTTTCAGCCGCCCCAAAACCTGGAGGGAGGGGGAAGCAGGAAGGATTGGGAACCACAAGGGGAACCACATAACTTCCTCACCCCCTTGGCTTCTGCCTTTTTGGGGTCAGGGGGGAGAGTGACCTTCAGCCCAAGGAGGGCTGAACTTCCCTCCATGTGGTCAAGAGACCCGATGCCCCTGAGGGGCATCTAAGGAGGATATTGAAGGATGAACAGGAGTTTGCAAGGGGGCCAGCCGGGGGCGTAGTAGTTAAGTTCGTATGTTCTGCTTCGGCAGCCCGGGGTTCGCAGGTTTGGATCCTGGGTGAGGACCTACACACTGCTCATCAAGCCATGCTGTGGTAGCATCCCACATACAAAGTAGAGGAAGATGGGCACAGATGTCAGCTCAGTGACAATCTTCCTCAGCAAAAAGAGGAAGATTGGCAACAGATGTTAGCTCAGGGCCCATCGTCCTCACCAAAAAAAAAAAAGAATGAAAAAGAAACAATGCAAATCTATTGGTGCATTTAATGAACACATTATAGGCATCATTCACCAATAAGAACATTTTTTATTCACTCAACCAGGACTTTCTGATACCTCAGAGGGTCATCTGAGGCTGTTTTAAAGGATATGTGGGTTACCAAGAAAAAAACTCATTCCTTCATTCAACCATCACACTCCCTGATGCCCCTCACTGAGACATTGGAGGAGGGTTTTGATGAATGTATAGGAGTTCACAAGAAAAAAACTATTTGTTCATTCAATAAATGTTCTCTGATGCCTCTCAAAGAGAATTTGAAGTGGATTTTGAAGGACAGGTGTTCACCATGGAAAAATTGCATTCATTCAGTCTGTCAGTCAGTTAGTCAATAATTGCTCCCTGTTGCCCATTGAGGAGGACATTTGGGAAGGAGTTCTGTGCAGGAGTTCCCCAAATGGAGCACAGACATTTAGACCTCTCTGTGGCTCCCCTGCAGCAGCTCCCCGTTTGCCCAGCCCAACCCCCTCTGGTACAGGGAACTGCTCTTTCCCCAGGATTCCAGACAAAGTCCCAGGGAAGACACTGATTAGTTGAGCTTGAGTCCACCTTGAACCAATCACAGTGGCTGAGGTGGAGGAAAGAGTCTAGGTCACACGTCCATCCCAGCCTGAACTACAGGAGAACTTTTAGGCAGAACTAGCCAGAGACAGAACAGTTGGCCATTATAGGGCATGAGCTTCCCATCACCTGGGGTATGCAAGCTACAACCTGAAGTCCATTTCATGTAGGGTTGCCAGACAAAACACAGGATGTCCAGTTAAATTAGAATCCCAGATAAACAACATATAACTTTTTAGCACAATTATGTCCCAAGTATTATGTGGGACATATTCTAAAAAAATTATTCATTGTTCATCTGAAATTAAATTTAACTGGATGGCTGTCTTAGTTTGGTAGGGCTGTCTTAATTAAGTAGGGTAGACTGAGTGGCTTCAACAACAGAAATCTCTTCCTTACAGTTCTGGAAGCCAGAAGTCCAAGATCAAGGTGTCAGCAGGTTTGGTTTCTTCTGGGGTCTCTCTCCTTGGCTCGTGGCTGGCATCTTCCCTCTGTCTTCACCGGGTCTTCTCTTGTGCATGTCTGTGTCCTAATCACCTCTTCCTAGAAAGACACCAGTCCGACTGGATTAGGATCCACCCATATGGTCTCATTTTACTTTACTTCTTTAAGGCCCTATCTCCAAATACAGTCCCATTCTGAGGTACTGGGGGTGAGGATTTCCACATATGAATTTTGGGAGAACACAATTCAGCCCATAACAGCGGCTGCTTTGAAAAACAGTCTGATCGTTTTTGAAAAAGTTAAAACACAAAGTTACCATAAGACCAAGGAATTCCACTCCTAGGTATGTACCCAAGAGAAGTGAAAGCGTGTGTCCGTGCAAAAACTTACACACGAATGTTCACAGCAGCACTACTCACAATAGCCAAAAAGCGGAAAACTCAAATGTCCATCTACAGATGAATGAGTAAACAAAACGTGGTCTATCCATGCAATGGCATATTAGTCAGCCGTAAAAAGGAAGCTCTGACACACGCTACCATGAGAACGAACCTTGAAAACCTCATGCTGAGTGAAAGAAGCCAGACACAAAGGGCCACATGCTGTATGATTCCATCTATGTGAAACGTCCGGAACAGGCAGATCCACAGAGACAGAAAGCAGACTGGAGGTTGCCAGGGGCCCAGGGAGGGAGAATGAAAAGTGACTGCTCATCGGTACAGGGTTTCTTTTGGAGGTGATGAAAATGTCCTGGAGCCAGCCTGATGGCCTAGTGGTTCAAGTTCGGCGTGCTCCGCTTCGGTGGCCCAGGTCCCGTTCCCTGTCTCGGAACCACACCACTCGTCTGTCAGTAGCCACGCTGTGGCAGCGGCTCACATAGAAGAACTAGAAGGACTTACAACTAAAAAACATAGAACTATGGACTGGGGCTTTGGGGAGAAAAAAAAAGAGAGGAAGATTGGCAACAGATGTTAGCTCAGGGTGACTCTTTCCCAGCAAAAAAAAAAAAAAAAAAGTGTTCTGGAACTAGATAGCGGTGATGATTGCACAACTCTGTGAATATGCTTAAAACCCACTGAACTGTACACTTTAAAAAGGTGAATTTTATGGTATGTGAATTATATGTCAATTTAAAAACGTGTATGAGGAAAACAAGCTTTGCTGGGGAGTTCTGTATTTTTATGGGCTCAGTCTGGCCACTGTCACCTGATGGGATCCTACAGCACCTCACAGGCAACCAGCCAGCGACCCTCCCGAGGGGCCCCTCCAGCCTAATGACATACTCTAATGCCCAGGTCGAACAGTGGAGTAGCAGAGGGACCCTGCAGCTGCAGAGACAGTGGGAGGCCCAGGGAAAGAGAGAACATGGGTGCCATCTTGGGACTTTGGGCTTTTCCCAGCCTCAGTTTCCCTTCTGCAAAGTGGGGCTGAACAATTATCATCAGATCGCTGTGAAAGGTGGTCCTGACGAGGCACTTAGCCAGGCGCCCAGTTGGCACTCAGCAAAGGCAGCCATCCTCAAAACGGAAACTGGCAACTACAGTGGCCACCTATTCTTGTAAATAAAGCTTTATTGGGACTAGGGCCAGGATTAGGGTGAGGCAGGGTCGTGCAACAGCAGAGTCTGAGCTTGTCTTTATTTAAAATTTTGATGTCTAGTTCATCATGCATTTTTGCATTATTTTTGATTTTTTAAACTATTGTATTAAAATATTGTATATCTTGATCACTGATTTTTTTTGTGGGCCCTCTTAAATTTTGCTCTGAAGTGAGTGCCCTGTTGTGTGCCCTGGGCACGTTGATTAACTTCTCTGAGCCTCAGTTTCCTCATCTGCAAAATGGGGATAATACTCCCTTCCTTCTAGGAGGATTCCTTGAAAATTGTTTACTTCTAGGCTGGAGGGCGGGGCCTGGAAGGGCGGGGCTGGCTCCCCCGATGGGGGCGGGCTCTTCCCAGCCGGCTCCCCATGAGGGGCGGGGTCAGGCCGTGTCAGCTGACCGGATTAGCCAATGGCATGGGGGGCGGAGCCTGGCAGGCTGGGGCGGGGCCTGGGGCGGGCCGGCGGCGCGGACCAACGGGCCATGGACGAGCCGAGCCTCCTGCGGCGCCGCGGGCTTCAGGTGAGGCCCCTGCGGGGGCGTGCGAAGGGCATGGCCGGCTGGGCCCGGCCCGGGTGCCGGGGCCGGGGCTTCGGCGGGCGGGGGGAAACTGAGGCCGGGGGCGGGGCGCGCCCTGGCCGCTCCCTCTGTCCACCCGCTTCTCAAAGTGCTTTTTGCCTGGTGGGAACGGCGTATGCCCTATTCGACACACGGGGAAACTGAGGCTTCAAGCGCTAGCACGGGAGGAAGGGGCTGCGGGTTTCGCCGTTCCCCACCGGCTGCTCTAATAATAATATGAGCAACGGCAACCTTTGAGCGCTCACCATATGTTCCTCGTTGTGTTAATCCTATTACTAGTGGTAGATTGATATTATTGTGTTAATACCTGCCGCATGCCTTCGCTGAGCCACGCGCCCCTGCATCAGTCCCCCCCGAAGGCGAGCGGGGGAGGTCGGGGCTGTCCAGGCGTCCATTTGTCAGATAAGGAAACTGAGGCTCCAGGCTGGGAAAGTCACAAACCCGAGATCGCCCCACAGGGATTCGATCTGGCGCCCTTAACCAGCTCTCTGGCGCACAAGCCAGTGCCAACGGGCTGTGTGGCCTGGGCGCGGGGGGCAACGGGAGGCACACTTGCTTCTCTGGACCTCAGTTTCCCCATGTGCCATGACCTGGGTTTGTGTTCGGGAGGCTGCGTCACCAGGAGGTGAGAACATGGGTGTCAGGGCTAGCAGAGGACGACGTTCGAACCCACGCGGAGGCCCTGTCACCTCCTTTGACCTCTCTGGGCCTCAGTTTCCCCATCTGTAAAATGGGAATTCAGAAGATCTAGCGTTCCCTCTGGGGCTTAGACCACACTCTTAAGAAGCCAGCAGGTTGCAAGTGGGGAACCTGGGATTCATCATTTACCCAACAAACATTTACTGAGTTCCTGCTGTGTGCCTCCTCGCTCTGGAGAGGCAGCGGGGGTTCACCCTCTGGAGCCGTCCTCCTGGATCTACCAGCCTGCTGGGGGAGACGACGCCTGAGCAGCCGTGATCCTGCGGAGTGGTCGGCTTCGATGAGGGACGCTCGGGCACACCCGAAGAGGGCGCATCTGGAGAGGGCGCCAGAACCAGGCGTTGCTGGGTGGCCTTAGGGCAGAGAACGCAGCCGCGGGTGGCGAGGCAGGGGGTGGGTATGGGGAAATGAAAGGCTGAGGGAAGCTAAAACCTAGAAGGGACGGGCAAGCGGTGGGGGGCGGCGCTGGGACTGGCGAGGGAGTGGGAGGACGGGCCTTGAACCGGGGTTGCGGTACTGTGAACTCACCGAAGGGGATGGGGAGTTCCGGGGGGGGGGGGTCGGGAACGGTGCGGGCAGCGTTGCAGAGCAGAAGGGGAGGGAATGAGGCCAGAGGCGGGGGTGCTGGGCGTAGAGGAGGGGGTGGGGCAGGACTGGTGAGCAGAGGGGTGTTGTGGGGGACAGGCCCCGCCTCGAGCCCCAGTTAGCCTCGAGCCCCGCCCGCGGCCTCTTAAAATAGAGAAACCGCCTTCGGGTAGGTAAATGGGGGCGCTGCTGACGTCAGTAAGTGGGGGCCTGTTCCATGGGCAGGAGGCGCCCATTCCCTGATGAGAGGTCCCACGTTACAAAGGGGGAAACTGAGGCTCAGAGAAGTGTAGCCACTGTCCAGGTGTTCACAGCATGTAGGTGACAGAGTAGGTATTTGAACCCAGGCAGATCCGGCTCCCCCTCCAGACCAACCCTGCACTAGCAGGCCTCCATCCAGGAAGGCTGACGGACGAGGAGGGATCGCTCAGATGGGTGAGGGCATTCTGGGCGGAGGGCGCAGCACGTGCAGAGGCCCAGAGGCGTGCAACCATATGTGCTGCATGGGGAAACTAGAAGCCATTTCTTAGCGCTAGAGCCGGGGGTGTGAGAGGGGACCATCTGCTTCCAGAGCTTCCAGCGCTGATTTTGAAGAGGTTAGATTTTCTCCCTAGGATAACTGGGAGCTATGGAAGGTGTGGGAGCAGGGGAGGACATGCCCAGATCTGAGGGCTTTGAAAGACTCCTCGAGAGCCAAAGGGGAGGGGGCTCAGAAAGGGAGGCCAGAAGCCAGGAGGCACCTGGAGTAAAGGACCAAGTAGGAGATAATGAGAATGATAAAAAATAAATAACCATAGGGGTATAAATAATGGCTCACAGTAACGGACACCTACAAATATAATCACTGTACATGCATTTAATTCTAACAGCTCGAGAGGTCAGGGCATTTATTAGCCTCATTTTTCAGAGGGGGAAATTGAGGCTCAGAGAGGGAAGGTAACAGCCAGGAAGTCAGAGAGCTGGAATTCTAACCAGTCTGGCGCCTGAGGTCGCCGAGATGTTGAGGGCCTCGGTTTGGGGCATCAGCCACACACTCCCTTAACTGGAGCCAGGTTGATGGGCCTGGAGCGCGCTGAGCCAATCAGGTGGCAGCCTGCTGGGCAGAGCCAATCAGATATCCTGGAGGCTGATCCTTCCCAAGAGGCAAAGAGTCAATTCATAATAGCTTGAAGAAGCTAGGGGACTCAAGTCAGGTGCTCATTGGCCAGTCCAGACAAAAGCGGGGGTATCCTGGCCAATCTGATCGTGGCAATGTTGGGCCTGGCACTGGCTGCGTGCTGGGAGGTCGTAAACAGGACCTGGCCTGGCCCACGGGCCACCAGTTTGTGCTGGCTGTAGGTCAGGAGAGGAGGAGGTGGCTGGTCCTTCCTGGTTTGGGTTAAGCTCAGTCTTCTGTGTAGTATTTGCAGGCGCCACTTAATGTGAGCAGTTATTACTATGGCTACTATTATTATTATTTTATCATTATTTTCATCATCTCCCACTTTCATCATTCCCACAAACGACAGAATTTTAAAACACCGGATCCCAAACAGAGCATCCAGAGGCAGAGAAGGTGGCCAGAGCCTGTGTCTGGACTTTGTCTCCACTGCTGCTCTGGAAGCTCCCTGGAAGGTCCATTCCGCATCCTCGTGGCCCAGTTCCATTTATTCTCCTCCTCCAGGAAGCCCTCCGGCTGGTGTGAGGTGGACCCTGCTGACTTCTCTCTCCCTTCGCTCCAGGGGCCGACTTCCCATGGGGCTTAGTGCCCAACGGGTTGAGTCCCACCTCCAACCTACTGTTTCCCACGAGCCTGCTGGCCCAGCCTGACGCCCCTCTCCAGGAAGCCTCTTGGCTCCCACCCACTCCAGCCCCTACTCTCCCTTTGGGTCACCCCTAATGTCTCCGGTATGGGGGTGTCCATCGTCCTGCTCTGTCTCCTCCAGACTGGGGGTTCCTCTGGTGGAGCTGAGGCTTCTGGCCGGGGGGCAGCGTCGCCCAGCCAGCCCAGCACACAGGAGGATGGCGTAAATATTATCTTTAAAGGGCGGCTCCAGGGGCTCGGGGCCCGCACCTGCCTTCGTCGAGGGGGGAGCCCCTTCCTGGGGAGCAGCCGGCGGAGGGGGCCTGAGGGCGGCAGCAGATGGCGCAGGGCCCGGAGCGTCCGGGGGCGGCACCGGGCGAGTTCCGCGGAGGCTTGGCCGGGGCTGCCGGCCTTCCCTCAGCCCTCACGCCGCTTCATATCTTCTTGGATTTTGGAAGTGAATTCACAGCTGCGGTTAAATGGGCGGTTATTACTAACTTCACAAGTCGTTCTCTTGGCTGCGGTTTACCGCAGCCTCCCGCAGCGCCAGGCCGTGAGCTCGGTGCTTGATTCCCTCCAGGACGCTATGTAACTGGGCTGTTTTCCAAATGAGGAAACTGAGGCACAGAGGGATGAAGTCGCTTGGCGGGGTTCACACAGCCCAGATGGGAGGGAGCCGCTCCGGGAACCCAGGACTGTCGGGGCTGTGGAAGAAAATGGCTGGGCTGGGGGAAGAGGGTTGTGTGCAGCTGGCACCCCTGGGTTCAGATCCCGGCTCCTCACTGTTTCACGGGTTAGTGGGGGTGGGGGAAGCTGGCATAAGGCCTCATAACAATTGGAGGAGGCAGAAGGAGACCCTTCTAAGCGGTCTATGACCACTTGCCCTGAATGGTAGTGAGCTCTCCGTCCCCAGCGGTATTCAAGCAGACAGGGAGATCTCAGGGTGGCAGGTCAGCCTTCTCCCACCTTGAATGGCTCGGTTTTCTGAGCTCAGGGTATCTGGGGTCAGGCCTCGGGGCGACGCGCTACCCCCGCACACCCTCCTCTTCCCCTACGGGGAGACCCTGCCAACCTCTTCCAGCCGCGTCGTCCTGCGCCCAGCAGCTTCCAATTGGCTCCAATTGGCTGCGTGGGCCGATGGCGTCACTGGTTGCCATAGCGAACGCCCAGCTTTGGATGTGGGCAGCACGGAGCCCACCGAGGTAAAAATAGTCGTGTGTCCTAGACGCGACCGCCTCGGTGCGTGAGTGCGTGGCGGGGGGGGGGGGGGGGGGTCCAGAGACCTGGATTCCTGGCCCTACCTCCGCCAAAAGATGTGGGCCTCCCTCAGTTTCCCCGCCTGTAAACCGGCCCCTGCTCCCGGTGCGTAGTAGACGGCTCAGTAAACGTGAATAAAATTTACCAGGTATTATGATCGTCTGTGTAGGCGCTTGCTGAGTTCAACAATAATACAAAAACAACACACAACAATAACAATATTAACGGCTGCTCGTTATTACCCCGGAACCCTCCTTATGTTATCTCCAAGTTACGGATGGGGAAACCGAGGCACAGGAGTCCCAGTCACTTGCTCAAGTTTCCACAGCCAGGAAGGGACAGATAATAGATCTGGACTGGGGTCTGAGTGTCCCCAGATTCTAAACTTGTGCTACACAGCCTTTTGAGAATTTAGAAACCCTCTTGAGCAAGCCACATTTGAGAGTGGACTCTGGGGTCACAGTGGACCCCAAGCACAGGGCTTTCTGCCCTGTTTATAGTGAAGCACCCAGAGTTCGTGCAGCAGCTTGCTGAGTTCTAGAAGAGCCTTCAATAGGGAGTTGCCAGTCAGGGCCCCCATACCCCACCTGTGCCAGGATGCAAACTTGCATGGGTTCTGCAGAGGGTGAGAGGGGAATGGTTTTCAGATCCGGGAGGGAGCAGGGTAAGGATGACTCAGGAATCTCCCTTTCCTCAACAGATTATTAGTATTTAACCACACTGACACTTCTTCACAAATATAACTAATTTGTTATTTTAAATAATGAAGTTATTTTTAATGCAATTCGAGTATGAGCTGGGCAGGGAGATAGCTTGGGAGTCCGGGGGAACTTCCAGGAGGAAGGAATGCTTGAGCTGAGACTGGAGGGATGAGCTGCAATTAACTAGCACTAGAGATGAGGGAAGGTGGTCCTGGCAGAGGACACAGCTGGTGCAAAGGCCCTGAGGCAGGGCTGAGCCCAGTGTGTGGGGCAAGCAGAAAGGAGGCATGGACTTGGAACAGGGTGAGCAAGAGGCCCACTAGGGGGCAGGGCAGGTGGGTGGAGGGCTGGGGATGTGAAGGGCTTGTCTCCTTGGGAATGACCTCTGTTTTCCTCTCATTTCAGAAGGAGCTGAGCCTGCCACGCCGGGGACGTGGGTGAGTTCACCTGGGGCTGGTGGGCGTGGTGGGGCCCGGTGGTCCTGGTGATAGGTGTTCCAGCAGCAGCCTCCTAATTGTGATTCATTTAAGAATTACAACAAAGCTTCTCACCTCGATGCTGCCCCTGGCGTTTGCAAAGCTTTTCCCAGGTGCCTCCCTTGGCCCTCACTGCAGGCTGGGCGGCCCGTGCCAGCTTGCAAATAAGGATGTTGAGGTGCCGAGCAGTTGCATCACAGGGCACCCAGCCCGGAAGGGGCACTTGTCTGGAACCCAGAGTCCAGACTATAGAATTCCAGCCAAGTGTCCCGGAACCAGCTTGCATGCCTCCCATGATGGGGAGCTCACTCTCTTTCAGGGAACGTGGGTAGAAAATCATATCCTTCAGTGTCACATTAGCATTCCTGTAGGTTGACATTTTTGTATCCCAAAAGCTCAAGGAACATTTTGTTCAAAGCCTTCACCACTTACAGATGGGGCAAGCAAAGCCCCAGAGGGGAGGGTTCAGCTCTCGCTGGCGGCCTGGAGGCATGTGAGTGCTGACACCCCCTCTTTGGGGGCTGTGGTTGCCTGAGTTGGGGTGGGAATTCTCTTGTCCCTCAGTGAAATCGCTCACTCACTTTTTTTTTGAGCGCCTACTGTGTGCCAGGCCCTCTTCCTGGCACAGAGGACATGGAGAAAAGCCTGTCAGTGCAGGCCCTTGCCCATGGAGCTCACCGCTCTCTTGGGGGCAGTGATGGTGAAGTGATGCTCTGCGGGGGAGAAGTTAGAAAGACAGACAGAGGGGGCTAGGAGGTGGTTTTAGCCCTGGAGATGTGGGGCCTCATGGAGGAGGTGACATTTGAGATCTGGAAGAGGAGGAAGAGGCCAGGGGAAAGCGCGCGGGTGGGGGGGGGGGACGGGGACGGGACGACACAACACGACACACGGCATTTTAGGCAGAGGGAACAGCATGGGCAAAGGTCTTGAGGTGCAAACCTGCTTGGCCTTGGAAGAACAGCATGGAGACGGGTAACTGGAGTGAAACGAGCACAGGGGAGTGGAGGGAGAGAAGGGGGAGGTCCTGGGGGTTGGATGCGAGTTTGAAATCCGATGGTGGGGGTGGGTCAGAGTGGCCCCCAAGCCCAGACCATCGGCTCTAGTTGGACTGGGGATAGTGCAGCTGGTGGGCAGAAGCCTGAGGGCCCCGGTAGGGGCGAGGGGCGAGGGGCTCGGACACTGCCTAGAGGGCCGGCGCTGTCTGCGGCCTTTGCCCAGGCTGGGGCAGGGTGGTGGACGGAGAATCAAATCAGTCCAACCGGGGAGGGCAAAGTCCCAGGCGGGAAGGGGACAAACACTCCCTGAGGGTTGTCTGCTTACTGTCCCCTGCGGTGTGCCTGCCTGGGTCCACCCAGGGTTTCAAGGAAGCCATCGCCAGACACAGGCAGCCCCGGGCCTTGTGGGGGGCGGGGCTCGGGACGCCCTGGGTCGAGGCGCAGGAAGGGCCTCGTGGAGGAGGCGCTGGGGGGCTGAGCGGCTGGGAGGGAGGGGCAGCCTTCCTGGCAGAGGAGCCGGCGCAGCAAAGGCCTGGAGGCGTGGCCGGGGTACCAAGGCGCGGGGTGCCGCGACCCGCGGCGGGCGGTGATGGGGCGGGGCGCGCTCGGATCCGGGGTCCCAGAGACCCCCCCGGGGCGGGGCCGGGCCATGGCGCAAGGACTCCGGCCGGCCGGGGGACAGGGCCCGCCCTTCCTTTCCGCGGCGCAGCGTGGGGCTCGCGACCCAGCGACCCAGCAGCGTGGGTGTCCCTCCCCGCGGGGGGATGGCACCCCATCTCCCGCCTCCCGCGACCCGACCCCTCCTGCGGGCTGGGCCTGCGCGCAGGTGCGGGGCTCTGAGCCCCGCCCCGAGGCGGAGAGAGCCCGCCCCCCCGCGCCCCCGGCGGCCGAGACCCCGCGCCGCGCCCGCCAGGCATGCCGGCCCGCGTCGGCGTTTGTGCGTCGGCCCGATCGCGCCACGATCGGGGCTTGGGGGCCTGAGAGGAGGCGTCAGTACTCGGCCGCATAGACGCGGCCCCGGCCGCGGCATGAAGTCCCGCAGGGACAAGCTGCACATCCCGGCGCTGACCCTCGAGTGAGTGCTTGGCCACGGACGGGGGCGTGGGGGGGAAGAGGGGCAGGCCCACTGCCACCCTACTCCCGCGTCTCTGTTGAAGCCGCCCAGAGTCGCACCGCCGCCTCCGGGGAGCCTTCTTGGGTCGTCGATCAGGCCCCGCCCTCGAGGCGTGCGCGAGACCCAGAATCCTGGGCCCTGGGCCTTCTTCCTGAGGGAGCCGCAGCCCTGGTCGGGTCTCCGGACTCGGCCACGCGCAGGGGCCGCTGCCGGGTTCACCGTCCTCCGCCTCTTTCTTTGCAGTCTGTCCCCGAGCAGCCAGAGCCCGTCCTTGCTGAGCCCCAGCAGCCCCGGCAGCCCCGGCAGCCCCTCGCTGGGCCTGCACCCTTGGAGGTGAGTGACAGCGCCCTGGCACCCCAGAGCTTCGGGAGGCCGCGCAGACCCAGCTCCCTCCCCAAGGTACTGTGTGGACTGGTGACGTCGCCTCTCCGTGCCTCAGTTTACCCCTCCATAAAATGGCGCTGCTATCCACAGTAGAGCCATAATAGGAAAATTCCACTTTCAGCCATAACAGCAGATCACCCATCTGATGGCTCGCCAAGGCGGGGCCAGAACTTGAGCGGTAGCCCAAGGACTTCCCGAGCCAGGTGCTGGGTTCCCAGCCTGCTCAGGGCTCCCCTGCTGATGGCCTGCCCTCCCTACACCCAGCTCAGCTAGCCGGAAGGCTCCTCCCTCTGACTCAGCACCCCCCCACACAAGGCTGAGTCTGCCCTGGGAGCCCCATGACCAGGCACACTGCAGGGAGAAAAAACCCAGCTAGACTGAGTGCCAGCTGTGTACCCAGTGCCTTCTCTTCCCTCTGAAACACTGAAGGGGGTGCACTCCCTGACCCCAGTTCCCGGCTGAGGAAACTAAGGCTCAGAGAGGAGATGCCCTCTGTGGTTCAGTACATCTGGAGGCCAAGCATCAGGGCCAGCTTGGCCGCCAGAGTCTGTTGAGGGTTTGAGCCACCCTCTGTGACTGGCAGGTCACTGGAGGGAATATTCTGGGCTCCTTGCACAGCTTGAGCAAAAGTTCAGGGAGGGGACAGATGCACGTGTCAGTGATGTCTAGAATTTGATGGCCCATCAGTCATTTACACCTTAGTATGAATGAGCTGCTCAGACTCTTCCCACAGGCCCTTAATGGGGAAAAGAGAGAACAATTTGAAGCCCACACTGGGTGCTGGGCAACAGGCAGTTACCTTCATCAGGTAGGCACCTACTGTGTGCCAGGTGCTAGGGGCATAGCAATGAACAAGATGAACATGGGCTCTCAGTCAGCTCTCGGGAAGTGGGCAATGAACCGGTGAGTGGACAAACGAGGAACATTCAACAGGGATCTCTTTGGGGAGGTGATGTTTGAGCCAAGGCCTGGGCAGAGCTAGGGGAAGAGGCACTGGGCAGTGGAAACTGCATGTGCAAAGGTCCTGAGGCAGGACTGAGATTTTTAAAGTCTCTGTGGCTGCCTTGGGGGAAGAAAGGTCTTCTAGGGACAGGGGACAGGAGTGGAGGTGGCAGAGGCAGGAAGATGAGTAGGGCAACATCGGGGTAGGAGATGGTGGGTCCTGGACCAGGTTGTGGTGTCCAATAGGAGGCAGGGCCTGCTGTTGCCCCCATTTAGCAGAGGAGGAAACTGAGGCTTAAGACCACAGTGTGTTGTCTAGGGACACCTGGGAAAGAGTGTCAGCCCAGATCTGATTCTAGGTCCTTGGCTTCAACCCCAAGAGAGAACAGGCTGAGGGGAGGGACCTGTGGAGAGCAGCTGAGCCAGTTCTACCAGTAAGAAATGGAGGCCGAGTGTTCAGGGCTCTAGCAGAGGCCAGTGGGCTGCCTCACTTGCCACCAGGGGGCAGCAGAACCACATCACCTTGGGCCAGGCAAGGAAAGGGGCCCCTGCCTCCTCTGGTCCAAGCCCCCGAGGAATAAGCCTACATTTGTCCCCCAGCCTCCAAAGCCCCATGAGTCTGGCCCCCTGGGTCCGGCCCTTGAAACCCCCCTACCTCCTCCCCATCCGTCTCCCTCTTGCTCACCTTGTTCTAGCCATGTGCTTCCTGGGCTGCCAGAATGCAAGCTGATCCAGCCTCAGGGCCTTTGCACTTGCTGTCCCCTCTGCCCGGAGCTCCACTGCCTCCTTCCTTCGTTTGTCAAGTCTCCATCAAGCCCTCAGATGGGCAGCCTTCCCTGACCACCAGGCCCCAGGCCCCAGTGACATCCATTACACCCGTCCAGTTCCCTCATCTGGACCCTGTCCAGGGTGTGAGTTCCATGTTTTCTTGTGTGATTATTGGGTTGTTTTTCTCGCCCAGAGGTTTCTCACCGCTTGATGGCCAGACCTGGATCTGTCCCAGTCATCCTGTATCCTCATGTAGGGCCTGGTGTGCAGCAGGTGCCCAGTTAATGCTTGTGGCATGGAGAAATGGGCAGCAGCTGGGAGGGCTCCGCCAGTGGTGGTGGGAGTTGAAGAAGGCCCTGAGCTGGGCCCCCGTGGACAGGGGAGCGACCAAGAGGCTGTTCCTGGTGGGAACAGCATTGTCGGAGGAGTGTTGCCTCTGGGGCCTTGCATGCCAGGGATAGGAAGGATTTGGATTTTCTGCCGAGGGCACTGGGAGCCATACAGGGTATGGGGCTGGGAGGGGCATGGGCAGCGCCTGGGCAGGTGGGAAGGGCCAGGGTGGTCAAAGACGGGGTCGGGGGTGGGGGTCTGTATGCCCCCTTGGGGCTCCGCTGTTGACGCAGTCACCAGCACAAGCAGAGCGAGGCAAAGTCCGAGTCACAGACAGCGTGAGGACCCGAATCTGGGCAAGGGGTCACCCGGCACTGTGGTTTTGCTGTGAAAGCAGTGAGGAGCCGTGGAGGGTGTGAGCAGGGGAGGGGCGTGGCCTGGCGGGCAAGGGGCTGGGCTCAGCCGGCCTGTCCCGGGAGGCCTTTGCCGTGGCCACAGGCCCTCTGGATTGTCAGCTGCGGCCCTGTTGTGCAGAGGAGGAACTGAAGCCAGCGGGGCGTGGGAGAAGCTGCCGCTGGGCGTGCCAGCACAGGGGCGTAGTGGGGGGCGTGTGGGCGGTGCAGGGGCAGCCACGGTGGGATGCGGGGCAGCTCCTTTGCCAACTGTGTGAAGGAGTGTCCCCCGCACACCTGGAGGGGGGCTCGTGGGCACAGCCTGCAAGCAAATGGTGACACAAGATGTGGTGTCATCCCCACTTGGGTCCCCAGACCTGTAGGACCTCGAATTCCCCTCCTCCACAGGAGGCTCTGTCCCCTGCATGTGGCTCAGGCTGAACACCTGAGGGTGGTAGGTGACCATTCCCATCCTCATGTCCACATCTGACCCCCCAGCAGGGCCTGTCCCTTGGCCTCAAAACAGGTCCAGAATCCACCCACTTTTCTCCACAGCCACACCCTGGTCCAGGCCTCAGTGTCTCCCTCCCAGACCCTGTTACAGCCTCTCACTAGCCTCCCGCCACCTCCACTCCTGCCCCTGACAGCTCTTGTTCCCCATGGCAGACATGGGGGTGGTTTACAGACATAGGTCACACAGACCAGGTCACACCCCTCCCCTGCTCCCATGTCCTCCATGGCTCCCCATTGCTCCTACAGTAACACTGCACTTCTCCCGCAACCCACGGGGCCTGCATGCGTAGCCCTCCTGGCATCTTCCCCTCAGTCCTGCCTCAGGGCCTTTGCACGAGCTATGCCTGGGACACTCCTCCGTGGCTGGCTCCTTTTCCTTCTCAGTGTCTTGGCTGGCTGCAGTGTCACCTCCTCAGAGAGGCCTCTGGGCTGAAGTTGTCCTCTGCCAGTGTTACCGTGTTCTTTTCCTCCCTCAACTTCAGTGTTTGAAATTAACTTGTTCATTTACTTGTTTTCTGTTTACTCTCTGCCTCCCCCACCATACCGGGGGCCCTGAGGGCAGGGATTATTGGTGACCTGGTTCCCGCTGTGTCCCCAGGGTTCAGCACAAGGGCAGGCACACAGTAGGGGCTCAATCAGCATTTAGTGAGTGAATGAATGGCCAGATGTGGGTGTTTGAGCCCCGGTCTGGGGGACCTGGAGAGCATTCCTGGGGAGATACCCAGTAGGTGTCTGGGCCACAGGGCGTGGCACCTGAGAGTGAAACTGGGCATGGAGGGGACAGGGTGGGGAATCTGAGAGAGGCTTAAGAAGCAAAATCGGTGGCAAGAGGGACGGGGGCAGGGTCAGGGCTACACAGTGGGCAGCAGCACCCACTCGGTGCCTCAGTCGCTTCTTCTCAGATGCGGGGCCGGGGTCCAGCATCAGTCCTGGGCCTGTTCCCAAAGTGTCACGGGGCCTGTGAAGGGGCTGGGGCTGTCGTGAGACGAGGAAGCATTAATTCACTGCCCACCGTGTGAGACTTTGCTCCTTCGCAGTGAACACTACCGTGCCCCAGCCCTGTCCCAGGTGCTTTCTGTGCCTCGGTTCTATTCCATTTTCATGAAGGGTCACGTGTACGTAGAGAAACAGAGGCCCGGAGTTCAGCCTGATGCGAACACTCACTCACCGTTTACAGGCACTGTTGGAGGCGCCGGTCAGCCCCGTTCTCTTCCCATTTACAGTTAAGAAGACTGAGGCTTGAGAAGTGAAATCAGGCGTCTGCTTCCTGACTGTAGCCAGGCTGATGGCCTTCTCCGTCACACAGACAGGCGTGCCGGTCCAGTGCTGGGAGATGCTAGGACCCCGAGGACCCCCAGCCGAGGGAAGACAGAACCGGACAGACACTAGAGAGAGCTTCCTGGAGGAGGGGACGCTGGATTTTGCCAGGCAGGAAGGGCATTTCAAGGAGTGGAGCCAGCGTGGGTGCGGTAGCGGGAGCCGGGCCGGGCCGCTGCGTGGGTCTCGAGTGCCGCACTCAGGAGGGGTCAGCCCCGGGGAGAGAGGGGCGTCATCGGATTTACATTTGGAGGGATGGGACCCAAGTCCCGATATCCTGGTGCCGCCGACGCCCCGCCCCTCCGCCGCGGCCCTGACGACGCCCCGCCCCTCCGCCCGCGGC